GCTGTTCAGTTTGTTCATGAAAATTAAAGGGATTTAAAACCTCTTTACTCTTTCGACAGTGTCAGGAGAAAGAAGTCTTCTCAGTGCAAAAATGCTGTTGTAATTCGAATTTAATACATTCTCCTCCCACTTTTTTAAGCCAGACAACTTTGGATACTCAAACAATGAGTCAAGATTTTTTTCTTCTTTTGTTGATCAAATTTTGTCAAACCATTATTTTTTAATGCTTGGTTTACTTTACATTCATGTTTGCAAATTGTGTTTTGTTATAACAGTTATTATTTTGATATATTATTGTTTTTTTTTATTTAAAAATATAGAAAAATGAAATGCAATTCTCTAATGTGGTATTTCTATTTTCTGAATTATTTTATGAAGTTAGAAATTGCTCTCCTGTAAAATTATTGTTATAAAAAGTTCTACAAAGCAAAAAATATTATTTAAGTAAGTTTAAAATTTAAATCAAATACCATTTTAACATTATTAAATATTTTTAAAAATATTATTGATTCTAACATTCTTCGATATAAAATGTTAAATTTAATAATAAAATTAAATAGTTTAATAATAAATCTAATCTAATAAATCTTTAAGTAGTTTTTATAAATCTAATCTAATTTATTGGAATAAAACCCACTACTATCATTCCCACCAGTTTTTAAACATTGTATTTAAATTTTATCAAATAAATTGAAATCAATTAATTGATATCATAATATAAGTATGATGTTTCAATATAAGATTCAAAATTTTACTGATATTTAAATTTGTAAGTCTACACTGCCTGACATATTTTTAAAAAAATGTTTTATTTTCTGTTTTAATTTTTTTTTATTTGTTAAAGAAATCACTATAAAGTTTTGAAGTTATATATTAGCTGAAATGGAAAAAAAAGTGCACTTTAAAATTAATAATGCAATGCTGTATGCAAATTATAATTTGAAGTCTATTTTTAACTTTTTATGAAATATGTTTCTATCGTAATGCTATATTACCATTTTAGCGTCCTTCAATGTTTTGAAAAATTATTATTAGGTTCTACATTCTCAATAAATAAAAATTGTTTATTTACTAATGATGCTATGCAACACTGGATGTTGTTAATTTTATATATATTTTTTTATGAATCTTACTTCAAAAATGTAATTTGTGTTCAATGTTAAGGAACATAAACATACAAAATGACAGTAAATATTTTACCTTTCAAATTTAGAATAATATGCCGGGATATTGGAGGTTCTGATCCCGAACGAATGTCAGCCCCTAATGTTGCCCACTATGTGCAAAGCTTGTTTTCTAAAGATACTCCAGTTAAAGTTGAAGTTATTGAAGATGATAGTGTTCTTACTAAAGAATATCCTCTTTTGAGTGCTGTAAATCGTTGTGCTAAGGGTAAGAATGTATTTAAAATGCTTTCCATATGAACTGTTTAAAAATTTTGTATTTTTAATGAATGTTTTTATTTATATTAGGTGTAGAGCGACACCGTGCCCGTGTTGTTTTCCTCACTTATGAATCCAGTGATGAACCTTCAAAAACATTATTCCTTGTCGGAAAGGTTTCAATTTTTTCATTTTAAAATTTTGTTGTTAATGGTTTTTGTGTATATTTTTAATTTTAAAAAGTATTATTAAATTTTGATTTATCAAGAAATTTTGGCATTTCATTTAAAATCAGTGTATTTTTTTCTTTTGTCAAGGAATGATGCTTTGTAGCTTATATTTCCATATAATTGCTGAAATAGTTTTATCTTACTTTTTATTGAATTTTTTC